AATAAAGTACTTTGAATCTGACCCTGAAAGTGCTGACTCATTAGAATTTGTGCTTTAATACCTTATATTTGCCTCCATACTGTTCACTACTCCATTGCAGTAAGCTCTGAATATGCATACCACACACCTGCTCACTCTTTCTAGTATCTCCTGCAAGGGCTGGTATTTTAAACTGAGAAGCCAGACAATGCTCAAGGGAAGAAGTGTCACATTTTACAGATGGGGAACTGTGATACACGCTGCTGCATTTCTAAGTAGCTTTCTGAACATGGATATTTGCATATTTGAACAGAACATCTGCGACTTCAGGTTTAAAAGCCTTTTCAGGACTTTGTTTATCACACAGCACCTTTTTCCCACAGTATCTCTCTTCTCTTTGATTCTTCATTGCCCTCCACAAAATATCTCGAGACAGACCTTTGAACATAGAGGGGATGCTCTGTGATCAAGGGCTCGAATGCACAGACCCTGTCACAGACTGAGACTACCAAACAGGATGGATCATTTCGTGGTGTACTGAGAGCTGGCTCTTGTAGACAATATTCATGTGATATTTCATACAATTCTTACCACGTACCTTATCATCTCTCTTCAGCAGACTTTCTGTCTGTCTGTCTGTCTGCTTTTTGCTTCCTTACCTTAGAGCATTTCTTACGGGATGGAGTAAGAGAGTAAAATCCTAGCAGTTATCCATGATGTGAATTACAGATGATACATAATGAGTTGAGCATCCTACCCTCTCTTACCAATAGCTCATGATGGCAGCTACTAACATCTATTACCACGATATTAGTATTAGTCCCATTTGGGATAACAGAGTTCTCATTTTATGCTTCATATTCTTGTCACTTGAAGATTGAATCATGAGGCCATGCTACATCCCCCTGCTGCAAATATAAGCGCCCTCTCCTGTGCAAAGGTTCGTTTTGCAGGGAAAGAGGGAGTGCAGAGGAGTGAAAACCACCTCAGAAGGCAGAGGACTGGTAGGTATCACATCCTCTATGCATAAGCTGCAGAAGACATACTGGGAGATCCAACTTTGGGGATGCTGACAGCTGTATGCTTCCCTGCGCACCAAGGAGGTTAAAAAAAGGATTGCATCTCTCTGATGCAATCCCTCCACCCTTATTTGCTGCCTTTGGTTTGTGCTGGTTTGAAAATAAGACAGGCATTCCAACCTGTCAGGGAACTTTGTCATCATTTCACTACATAGAGGAAGTTTCCTAAAAGACGTGTCCCACAGTGTGAGCTGTAGAATGACAATATGCTCACAAAGAAAAGCCATTAGATTTTGGATATTTTTGAAAGGCTGGCTATGAATTAGGTTTCATCACTCAGTACCCAACAAAGATTCGATATGGGGTTGTACATGAGAGCAGGAACTAAATGAGACCAGCTACAAGGTCACCAACTGCAGATGAAACTGTATCACACATAGAATCTGAGTTAATTCATATCGGGTTTTGCCTCTTTTGTGTAACTATCCTCTTGAAGCAGAATTTAAGACAGAACATTATTTACAGAAAATTTAATACAGAAAGTATTTCTTAGTCAGAAATAGAGTTTTGTAAGTGACTTACCCCAAACATTTACATAAAAAGTTGCAGTCTTTAGAAACAGCAGAAATTGATGAATAAGCAAACAGATCAGATATATTGTCTGCAAAAACTAGTTTGGCCAGCTCTAGTTCATAGCCAGAAATTATTCACTTCACGCTTTACAGTCATACTTAAAATAATCAGCAATCCACTTATCTCTCAGGCTCATTATGAATGTCTGAGACACATGTAAAAATAAAATAATGTTTTATTTATTCAGTAGCCCACTCTTCTTTAAATGATGGAAGTTATACTTGAGTAAATGCTGAATACAAAAGAAAGTGAAATTTTTTAATCTCAGCCCCGTACACCGATGAGCAGCTCACCTGCTCTGAGCCTTATGTGTGAATACCTGACCATGTAAAGACCAAACTGGGAGGCAGAGCCTAGATTTGGTTCTGTACACTCTCCAAGTCATCCTGTAGCTTGAGTTGAGTGAGTAGGTTGTGCACGGATCCGAATAGCTGTGTTGAGATTCAGATCTGATGTAGCAAGTGAACCTTTCTTCACAGCACGAAGCAGTCCCTGCAGGCCCACTGCAGGGTGATGTCTCTGCAAGAGGAAAGGGTGGAAAGACCCACGCAGTCAGTCCACCCCTTAGATCTACTCTGACATGGGTAGTGCCCTTTGCTGAGTCTCTTACACGTGTCCCAATGCTGAGACCTTTTCTTTGCCTGCATGGCACAGTCAGATACTGTCTGACAAACCAGATCACATGTTTTAATTTATCAGATGAGAAACATCAAGTTTGTCCAATGGGATATTTTGACAACACAAAATAACATTTCTATATGTCCTCTCTCAGCTGTAAAGCTGCTTTTCTGTTTATCCAAAGAAGTCAGGATTGGTGGTTCTTCCAGGTGGATACATTGCTTGATACCTGGCCCCTAATACTTTCAGTAATCTGTCACAGAATTATTTGGAAAGCACCTCTGGAGATTATCTGGGCAAATTTCCAAGTTAGATCAGACTGCATGGGTCTTTGCCACTTCTGAGGCTTTTGGTTCAGAGTGTGTCTGAACAAAGAAATTCCAATGATTTTCTTTAAGAGAAGATGCATAATGATATAGTAATTTAGAATAGCATGTAACTTTAGTAAGGCAAAAGAATTACAACTGTTGCATCAGATCCTGATAATCCCTGTCCCTTGCATCTATAGCACTGAGCTCTAATGTTGGTTCATAGAATTACAGAATATCCCATGTGGGAAAGGACCCACAAGGATCATTAAGTCCAACTCCTGGCCCTGCGCAGGACCATCCCCAATAGTCACACCACATGCCTGAGAACATTGCCCAAATGCTCCTTGAGTTCTGTCAGGTTTGGGGCCATGACCACTGTCCTGGGGAGCCTGTTCCAGTGCCCAACCACCCCCTGAGTGAAGAACCTTTTTCTAATATCCAGCCTAAACCTCCCCTGACACAACTTCATGCTTTTGTCTTGGGTCCTATCACTGGTCACCACAGACAAGAGATCAGTACTTGCCCCTCTGCTTCCCATTTTGAGATCTCTGCTCATTCTCCTGTGGGCTGAACAGATCAAGTGACCTCAGTCACTCCTCCTACAACTTCCCCTCTAGACCCTTCACTGTCTCTGTAGCCCTCCTTTGGACACTCTGATAGCTTTATATCCTTTTTGTATTGTGGATCTGAAAACTGCAACAAAGGGCTTGAGCTGAGGCCGCACAAGTGCTGGGTAGAGCGGGACAATCACCTTTCTAGACACTCACTATTTATCAAAGGAAAAACATCAGAGAGATTTTTAAATTCACTGAGGTCAAGATCTAATTTGCATCCATTTCAATCAGTTCAGAAGCCTGTTCCTCTGGTTTCTTCTAAATTCGCTGATATTATTCATCAGAGTTTACATTTAGACTATGAAAATCCTGAGGCTGGGGCAGTTTCCATTTGCATCTTCAGAAATGTGTCACCAGTGTTGGGGCTGTATTCAGCTGCTGCTGAAAGTTTGATTTTCAGCAAAGTTACAGATATTCTGGTATTCTGATCTCTTCTTGATACCTCAGAGAATTTGATTTCTGAGATGTGTATGAAAATAGAAACACAGAATTTGTTGATTAGCATCTCAACAGAACTTCACATTTTTCCAATTTAGTATTGTATGAGCTACTTTTGAGGAAAAAACATTTAATATGTAGATACCAGAGGAGCAATTAAATAATGGTAATAAAAAAAGAAACATGTAATAAATATAATGAATTGAAGAAATATCATTTTGGCACAATATTTTTTTTCCAAACGAGTATAAGAATAAAACATATTATATAGAAATATCAATGGCAATTTTAATATATTAAAAAACAATGTATTTACATTAATATTAACATTGGCTAATACTAGTTCAATTAAAAATATGAACAAATAACAGTTTTAAAATATCACAGAAATACAAAATTACAGATGAAACAAAATGATGCTGTGAAACACTTTACAAACTCGTACTCAGATTGACTCATGATCTTTGTCTGTTGGATCACATAAAAATATGAAGAAGCATTTATTGCCATATCTGTACAATTCTTAATTTTTAAATTCTGGTTTGGAGGCACAGGGAACTACTATCAGTAAGTTATTAATAGTAAGAGTGGTAGCATCAATAAGAAATTTGCTGCAGGGTGGTCTCCTGTGTGCACCTCCAGCATGTCCAAGGGAGTTCCCAGCTATGGGGAGAAAGGGCTGTGCTCTCCAGGCTGCCAACCCTTCCATGTCAGTAAGGCAATTGGCTCTTTTATAGGCAGTGTTAGCTTATTCAGAAGTGAAACACAAGCTCAACAACTGTTCAGAGATGGCATAAAAGAGTCCCTGACTCCACTTGGAAATGTCTAAGTTTTCTATATGTGTCAGTGCATTCTAGGTTTGGCTGCAAAACAAGGAAAATTTACTAATTGTAAACCGTCAAGCATTAGAATTGTACATTTTAAGAATTTCAGGACAGTGTGGGATCTTGACTAATGCAGCAGCAGTACTGTCATTCTGTGTTACCAGGCCACTGTTTTGCCCTCTAATTCCCCCAGAATGTGCAATGCATACAGAACTATGGGAAACATTTTCAAGGCTCTCGTTGAAAGACTTACTCATTCTTAATATTTTCCACTGGTTAACCACAAACAGTAACGGCAGAGTGCATTTATGAGACTCTGAACATGTTCCTCCTCAAGAAGCAAAAATGTCAACCATAGGAAAGACAAGTTGTTCTCCTCAGCAGTGGGTTGGTTTTTTTTTTTTTTTGCTCAGATGATAAAACTGATTTTACCTCATATGAGCAAAGGAATCAGTCAAAAAGATAAGCTTTTAAGATTTCAATTTGAGTTGAAGTAAATTACTTGTTTTATTGCATGTAATCCTTAGCAAAGCAATATTCTCACTGATGATACTGGTGGGCAAAGTTTATTGTAGGAGACAAACAGAAGAAATAAGAATTATTGCTCCTGTAGTGTCCTCGAGGAGTTGCTGACCCATGCAGGACATGCAAGATGATGTGAGCATGGAAATACTTGTGTCCTACAGTCTGCAGCCTGCAGCTGGCATTGGGAACTTCTTATTTGTTTCAACACCTACCTGCTAGCTGCCACCTTCTTGGTCTCTGCCACTAGTACAGGTCTTTTGAATGTTGGACGAATCTGTTAGTTCTTTGTTTTCTTCCCTTTGCCCTTCTTCCCCTGATTCTTCTTGTATTTTTGATTTTCTGCTCTCAGTCTTGTGATTAATGGATGAATTTAGCTTGGATGAGTTCAATCTCCATCTCCTCAGGCTCCTGTAACAATCTCTTCTGATGTTTTCACTAACCAGCACGTAGATGATTGGATCAGCAACACCATTTGCAGTGCCTAAACACAGAAACACTGTAAAAATTGAATATATCTTCCTTTCAAATGGACATGGGCAATTCTGATTAAACATGAAGTGTATGGCTCTTATTATGAGTACCACATGGTAGGGAGCAAAGCAGATCAGGAAAATTACAATAATGGCAATAGCCAGATACTTCACTTTGGCTTTTTGGTGACAAGACAAGCTGCTGCTACTTTTTGTAATTTGAAAAATTTTGTAGTTCGTGAAAATGAGGATTGTGAAGGGTATGGCAAATCCAAATAGGAATCTAGCAAAGCTGAAAGAAGCCAATTTTATGCCAAGGGGCACAGTCTCAAAGCAGGTTCTATTTGTGTGGTTTTGCTCATCTTCCACGTAAAATACTGGAGTGTGGATTACTGCAACCACAGCAAAAAGAAAACAGACTATTATGATGGCTTTTTTCTGTCCTCTTCTCCCCCTTGATTCCAGAGGATACACTAGTGCCACGTAACGATCCAGGGAAATGCAGCACAAAAGCAGAATGCTGATGTATATATTGCAGAAAAAGATGAATCCTGTTATTTTGCAAGCAGTGTCACCCATGGTCCATCTGTGCCTGTTTTGCACATAGATAATCCAGAGAGGCAAGGTACTTAAATACATCAGCTCACACAACGATAAACTGAAAATGTAGATGGCAATTATTTTATTCCTTTGGATTTGTACCAGTGTAAGCAGCGAAGTTAAGCAATTTGCTGGAAGGCCTATGGCAAAAACGATGCTGTAAACAGCAACCAGAAGTGGCTGGCTCTCTTCGTAGGGAATTCCTGGGCAAGTGGAGTTATCTTTTGTGTCTACACAGTCTTCCATTATTCTTGTTCCAGCTGGTGTTTCCTGAGAATGAGAAGACAAGGCGAAAAGTTAGCATTGTATCACTTAAAAATGTGTCAGTAAGGGTTATGGCCCCATAGGTGCCCACTTGACATATCAGGGGAGCAAGTGGGATGCTTGAGGAAGCACCTAAGGCAAGTTTTCCAAGTCCTGCTGGTCTTCTGTGGGGACCCCCTGGGAGTCAGGTCTGATTTACTTCCAGGAAAAAGTGCTGGTTTTCACAATGAATTTCTTGAGTACAAGAAATTTCACTTTTAATATAAAGGGTGTCTGTCTAATTAAATGGGGTTTCATGGACTGTTCCTAAACCATGCCTCATAAATAAGACTGAGCTGCTGATCAATTACTAAAGACAATTCCCAGAGTAAATTGAGGGCCTTAGTTTTCAATTATTTTATTTTTTTTAACCGAGTAACAAAAAATGCAAACTGCAGAGATTTCAGAGGCAGACTTCCAAATGAAGGTAACATTTATCGTCACTCATGTGGGGGAATCATCTAAAGTGGGTGGTGGCAGTTCACAGAATCATAGAATCGTTAAGGTTGGAAAAGAGCTCTAAGATCATCGAGTCCAACTGTGCTGTTGTGTCAGAGGACTACCTGGTATACAGGAACCAGAATCTGGTCACTGGTGTGTACCTCCACACTTGCAACACAGTGGGTCAGGACTGTCTAATTCACACTTCTCTCCTCCCTCCTCTTAAAGAATAACAGCTGAAGAAGACAAATTCGTAGTATGATACTACACCCATAACAGAAAGTCAGTGAAACTGCCAACCACATCTGTTTGATACCTCTGGGAAACAACAGGAAATAAGGGCAGTTAGAGGATGTAGACAAGACCAAAGAGAAGAATATACATGTTTAAGAGATGGAGGCAAAGAAATTTGATGCTCATTGAACAGGAGGGGTTACAAAAATCTCCACCTTTTCAAGATGACCATACACAAAAGCAGATGTGGCATTTGGGTTGTGTTAAGCAGTGCTAGGGGCAGCATTTCTTGCAAAGACACAGGATGATTTCTGTGCATAAGTATTCTCCAAGGGAATAGAGAAATTTGGAGGTGGGTGTGCCGTAATGGTGGTGTGTGCCCTTAAAAATTGTATTTTTCTCTATTTATGAGTTGAAGATGTCCACTGTATAACATTCTTGATAAAAAGAGGTCTTGTCTGGCTTAATATTTTGGGGATTCTCTTATGGGTGGACACCTACTCCAGGGTAACTAAATCCTGCTAACTCCACAAGGAGATGCGTTGGCAGAAACAGTCCCTTCAGACAGAGGAGGCACATAAGCTTTCACAGTCCACACTATGTGTGTGCAATTTTTTTAACCCTGAGTTCATGCAGGGGGGAAGCTTTTAGCAGCCTCTAACATTTATTTATTGCTTGTTCGGGCCCATCTCAAGCAGACCAAGGGGAAGAAGTGCAGCGGGATTGTCTCCTGCATCTCTTCCCCTCCATGTGGGCAAGAGCAGTCCCTGGGGTGGCACAAGCAGGTCAACCCTGAATGCTTAACAGGGCACCTGCCTTGCAAGATCCCTAGAGCTTGAAGGGCAATCAGGTCCCCTGACTTAGTTTGGTTACCAGATGATGAGAATAGTGTGAGAAAATGGACACAGGTTGCCTTGGGCTGCAAGACCTTCACAGCAGCACAGTGCTGGCCACAGCCACAGACACCAAGAGAGGATCTCCTGTCCCATGTTCAGAGATGTTCACTTCCATCAAGTACCCCGATGCAGTCAGTTTTGAATGAAGATGTCCTGACAAGCAAGAGGGTAGAAGCCAGTGGTACCTGCCATCCCCAACACCACCAGCAGAATAAGCTGTTCCCTGAGCTGGGGATGTTTGAAAGGCACCTCCTCAGACAGAGGAACTGAGAAAGTGCTGTGAGCATAGAAGTACAGTGGAGGGTGTGACCCCCCCCGGGACTGCCTTCCACTTCCCCACAGTAAATCTTGCTCCACTCTTGTGTTGACAGCCTGGTGGTTGCTGCACTAATTGAACCAAAGTATCTTTCCAGAGGGTCGTATCCCTCCACCTCTGAGAGCTGGACTGGAGTCTGGTGGGTATGTTGAAGCTCTCTCAAGGGGGATCTGAAGTTTTGTCCCGGGACACAAAACCATCCCTCTCCTATCTGCTAGTTCCCCATTCTAAAATCATATTTTAGTTGCTAAAAGCCCCAACATTTCTCATGCCATGTGTCACTGCATCCAAAATCTCACATGGAGCTCAGCCTGCAAAAGTAAGGTAGGTGAATATGAAGTTGTAGAGTAATTTAGACATATTCATGCCTTCAAAAAAAGTGGGATCCAGTATTGTTCCATCTTAAGAATCAGTGTAGAAGAGAATCCTCACTGCTGTGTGGGGAAGACATCACAGTACTCAGCAGGGCTGCTGCCAGGTTGTGTGTCAGAGGGTGCAGCTACTTCCCCCCTTTCCTAGCAGTGAAAGTGAGAGCTGGTGTTAACTTACAAAAGCAGTGGTTGAGATTAAGGCTGGTGATGATTTGAGTTTTTTGCTGCCTCTGAGTATTTGCCACCCATGGTGTAGGAGGAGGGGTTTTCTCTGGGCCACCTCCCAAACTGCTGTGTAGAGGGGATAAAAAGGGTGTTTGATTTCAGAGTCCTCAGTGGTTCTCTGCCCAGACTTCACCTATGAACTGACATACAAGAGCTTGTCCTTGATTCAGACGTGCCTGACCAATGTGAGAGCTGCTGTTCAGCTGCACACCACAGAGCTGCTCTACACCTGTGCACCACAGAGAGTCTTGGAGACCTCCCCTTCTATGATAAAGCACAGCAGGTGAATACAGCTCATGGGGCAGGAAGATGGGGACAGCCAGGGCAGGGACATGGCAGAAGTCACACACCATCTCAGTTACTCATCAGCTTGTCTACTCAGGGCACCTTAACAAAAATACCTTCAGGACTGGTTGAGTTTCTCTCTCCTCCCCTCCCTCTGGGCTTTGCACACTTCTTTTGACTCTATGTTTGTCTGAATATTCTCCTTTCTGCACGGCTTCTACCAGGGCAGCTGATGGTGCAGGGCAGGAAGGAAGTGGTAGAAGAGTTCTGTAGACACATGGTCCCAATGTTTGTTTCTCTTGCTTCTTTCCTTCACCTCCTTCCCTCCCACTCTGCTCCAAGTCTCCTTCCTATGCTCAGCACCTGGGAGAGAGCCTCAGGGAAGAGATGCCTGTGACTTTCTTAGCTGTCTGCATGGAGCATACTTTTTTCCCTTGGTGTTTGGCATATGGACTAATCCACTGGGCTGGGGCTGAACTGAAGAGACCTTCATCTTTATAAGACTGTGTAGTGGTTTGGATCAAACCATGACAGACTGTCAGCTGCCAGGAGCAATGCCTTGGCTGGCACAGTGCAGCTGTAGCTGTGGATTTACACTCGTAGAAAAAAAGCATGTGCTGAATGACTCTCCTGGAGCTCTGGCCTGTCATCTTGGGAGCATGTATCCTTCCCAGCAGGAATGCTCTATGTCCCAGCCCCACATCAGGAACAAGGAGAAGAGACCATCCACTTCCTCCACTCCCTCACCTACTCTTGCCTCTCTGCCACTGGACACTGCACGCAGCCCCAGTTCTGAGCTTTACTTGTCTCTGCTAAGTTCTCCAAGCTTGCACAGGGATTTCCTTCTCAAACTGAAGATCACGAAGCAGCATTCAGCAGATAATTTTATGAAATTTCTCCCAGTGACATTGTGATGACCCACGGTTAAGGGGAAGAAAACACCACTACAATCCACTCCTTGACTAAAGTCAACTTCTCTGGGCCTCTACACCCCCCTTCAACTGAATGCACATTGTTATCTTTTTATCAGGCCTTTAGAGTTTACTGGATTCATACTTGATTCTGAGTTCTTGGCTTCCTCTGTGGTGTCTAGTCTAACCTGCATCTCAGATCTTAATTCAAATGAAAAATAATAATAATTACAGAGCTGAAAAATCCGCACACCATTTTCTACTAATAGTTGTGATGAGCAATTTTGATTAGAACAGCAAAACTTAAAAGATTTATCACATCCAGCAATTTTCATGTATTTATAAAGGGTCAAGTGTAGCTGTGATGCCAAGGATGAATAATCTCCAAGAACACCTTTGTGAGATACAAGCTGCTCCAATGCATTAGGTTTCTTCACTGCTCAGAAGCTTTCAGTTGAGCTAAGCCTCTCCAACATAGCTGTTTTCACCTTTCTGTGACTTATCCTTATCTGCTAGGTCTCACCAACCATAGCTAGGTGTTGCACCAGGTCCTGGCCATGTTTCACATCAACAGCTCAACATATATTTATCATCACTCTGAGGCTTCTTGCTCCGTGAGACTCACTGCACGTGACAAACCGCAGTCAGCATGTGCACGTTTGTCACTTTCAGGGTGTGCAAAACATCTCATCTTCCCAGACAATCCACTCTGGCTCAGGAAGCACCTGAGCACAAATCACTGGGAGGTGGGGTAATCCACTAAGGAGGACGTGCTGCGTGTGTGCTCTTGATTTACAACCTTGCGTTTCTGATGTAACTGTGCTATGTTCACACCGTTAGTTGAATAGATAATTATGTTTCTTACTCCTAAAATGGAGAGCCTACATCCTCTAATGTATTGAGAACTTACGAAGAGAAAACCCTGGGAAAAGCCAGGAGATACCAAAGTATAAAGGGAATGGATGGAAGAAGCATGACAAAGATGAAAACCCATTTTCTTGGGGTGTGGTGAGAAAGCAGCAGAAGTGTCTTGCTGCAAACCCACCAAGCAGGGCCATGAAACCAGAGTGTGATTGACTGCCCTTTCCTCATCTCCTCTTTGATCCAGTCACCTTGCATTCCTCATGGCAGGTGGCCCGGATTTACCAGGAGGAATGGAGAGATGTTCTTTCTCTGGCTTTCCTAGGAAGTGGCAGATTTCAAATGCCAAACTGGTGTCTGGTCTAGAACAGATCTTCTATGTTGTGGACAGGGACCAAAACATGGCATCAATGTG